CAAAGTTGAAAGGCTTTCTTCATGAATTTATTTTTTCAAGTAGCCTACCGATAGACACTTTAGATCATGAAAATACTTTTTCTAGTGTGGAAAGTGCAAACCTGGTTGCAAACACACTATGCATATGATAATACCAAAAGAGTTCAAATCGGTTTTATTAATCTTCAGCCATTTCTCTAGATGCCCTGGTAATCTTACTCTGCAATTCCTAGGGGTGTCACAGTAAAAAACATCCAACAGCCAACTGTCCAAGTCATGACAGAGGTTGAAAAACTGTAGGGCTGTTCTCCCTGTTAGCTTAAGAAAGAGCCAGATTGAGGTGGCTTTCCTGTGCATCCCTGGGAGGGAAGCAGAGCCCTGGGCACTACCCCACACCACGGCACGCATGAGGAGTGAGGGTTTCTCAGCAAGCGACCTGAGCTTTTACAGGTTAATCCCCGGACAGAGCTCCCAGGCAGCTGAGGGAACTGCGACCAGCTGGAAGCCAATTAACTGTAGCTGAGATTATTTTGGTTCACGCATGAAGAGAGAGCGTTATTCCCTCAGCAGAGCTGGGCAACGCGCTGTTTGAACTTCCAAGGGCCGCTTAGACCTTGGGTTCAAGCTCCAGGCATCGCCACCATTCCCAATATTCCGCAAGAACTGAAGGAAAATGTGGGGGGAAAGCTTTATTTAGGCATTCGCTAAGCCTTTTGTTTTCCTGTCTCATTGCCAGTGCGTCTGTTAGCAGTGAGGATCTTTTGCGGAGGTAATTATGCAAGAGGAGGTAGCGTCCTGCCTGAATCTGTTTCCTTTATTTTCTTGGCAGATGAGCAGCATTCTCCCATCCAACTTTGCCCCTTAGATCTGGTACCGTGTACGACTGAAACAAAATGGCTGGCCCTGTACAGATGTATTGAATGCCATTACGTGAAATCCTCCTGGATTCTTCTATTTTTTTCCATGGAGATCTTTGTCCGCTATGGAACAAACACAGACACTTTGTGTGCAGAGTATTAGGCCCTGGAAGGGAATCTCCACAGGTGCAAACTACACATTTCCGTGCAATTTAATTACACAGTGTATCATCCTAGTTCACTGCTGTTCCCAGAGAAACCTGAACTAATCTTATTCTCCTTCCTCCATGCCCCAAACACACAGATTGAGCAAATCCAGTGTAGGAGCTTGATCTTTAAACAGGCTGAAGAACAGGATAGGAATTTCAGAAATGTTAACTATACTTTCAGTTTCACTTGCATTCTTAGACAGCTCGATAACAGAAACATGGTCCTACCGTATACTATCCACTACTTATTAACAGTCTTGCCTTAAAGCAGCAAGGCATTGTACCAGCAATATTTCACAGAGCTGTAACTGTTTAAGAAACCAGTGTGCTCCAAGAAAGGTTTTGGATTTACTGTACACTGCCTGCTATCTGCTGTTTCCCTGCACGGTTAGATTAATCGCAGTAGCTACTGTATTATAAATTGACACATTCATCAAGCAGCTTTTCTGTACGGACAAGCCTTGAGACTCCTGACAGCCTCAGAACATGAAACGGCAATGGCACGTAAAGTGACAAAAAGGGGCTTCATAAAGAAAGGCTGTCGTAAATCACCTGCTCTCATTTCACGCTTTATTCTCCCAAAGAATACCTTCCATAAAAGTTCTTGAAAGTCTGTAGAAATTCATCAAAAATACGAGCTGCAGATTTTGAGTGGAATTTTCTGGAGCACAAAAAGGGAGGACATAGTCAATAGTTTGTTTAACTGGGCTTTACATTATTAATTATATACCGCTTCCAAGTTTTCTTTAAAGTGGCAAATGTCTCGAGTGATATTGATCATCACATGCCTGGTGATGTTTGTTAAAGCTTTTAATCCAAAGAGTGTTATCAAGATAGCACAATAAAGACTGTAAAATTCCTTGAGACTTTAAAAGGTCTCATCTTGCTTCAGCTCAGGTTGATAGCAGAACTATTTATTTATTGAGCTTCAATTACTAGATCAAGGAAACCTCTTAGACCTTTAAGACCTCTTTTAGAAAAGGTCTTGATAAGCCCTAATGAACTTACTAAACATTTCAAATAGTTGATGTGCAATGTATTGCCATGTGTTCTGTATTTTAGTTATTTCTGTAGCTTCCCCAAAAACATTTGTTGTGCAATGGATATTATTTAAAACTTTAGCTGTGGTTTTGCAATATTTAAGAGATGCATTGAATCATGTCTGTATATTAGCTAAAAAAAAAAAAAAAAAAGGAAGATAAAGTTCTGAAACTTAGGTTCACACTTCTTGCTAATTTGTGCAAACATCATGCATGCACAGGGTTGAGGCACAGCTAGCTTTAACTGCTGTTCTAATTTAGCCAAAGAACACTCCATTACTGATGAAATTTTCATTATTTAGCTGGATGAAATTCAGTATGTCTTGTTTCTGGATGTGTACTGCAATCTGCAACGTATTCTGATTTCTAAAGATATTGAATGTTGTTAACAAAATGCCTATCAAGGGACAAAACACAAATAAAACAGATTTCAAAGGGGAACAGAGGTTAGAATGTCCTTACGTCTGCAGTACACTGTTAGCTTGGGTAACTGACCTTTTGTTGACAGCCCTTAGAATTCCTGTCTGATCTGAACATCTGCTTTTTTCAGTTTTCCTGAACCAAGCTAATTTCTTCCAAAGTCCTTCTGGGCATTGAGACTCTGATCTGTCTTGGTGTAGCTTAGCTTTTCTCTGGGGAGAAACGTCTAGCCAGGTACCTTTTATCCTTGCTTTGTCTTCCCATTGCTATCAGCTCTGCAGCCAGCGTGGCAGTTAATTGTTGTTCTTAACGTTTGCTGTTCCTTTCTGCTCTGAGACTGAACCCACACCAATCAGGTGTGCAGTAATGGTGTTTTGGAAATTTCCTAAGTGCTATTTCTTCCTCTGCTAGCCTTGCTCTTACAAGTTCTTGTTATAGCTTGTTCTTTTCTGTCTGCTTTCCTCTGGAAGTTATCTTAGGCCAAGGCTGACAATTTACCTCTTCATCTTGCTTTCCCACACTATCTCTTTTCAAGAAAATTCAAGCTTCTTCACTAAAATCTTCACTTCATAACCAATAAAAAAAAAAAGGGGGGTATGGAAAACAGCTTATGTTTCCTATTTACACTTTACAGTCTTGCTGTCTGGTCTTCATTCTGTGTGAAGATGAGGACAATAGCTTCCTAGCGTGTACAAATCAAAGTCAACATCATTTTCCTGTTTCGAGTGACTCCATACTCTTAAAAGAACACTTCTTGTAGCTGTTCATTTTTACTATTTTTACTTTTACCCCATTTCCGAGGTGTTATCTATTCTGATTACAGTCTTCCACTTTTTTTTTTTTCCCAAAAAAAACTCTCTCTTGAGCTACATTTTTGGACTCACTAAAAATACTGTCACTTTTTTCAGTCTGCTTTTTGCCAAACAGTGAATTCTCTCCTCTTCCAAATCCTGTCACTTGATGGTTTTCAACACTGTTAAGCCTTTATCTGCCTCTGCTCTGCCACTGACTCCATTGACCCTCTCCCATTTAACATGCTCTTGCTCTTCTATTCCCTTATCCTCTTTTCCTTGTTATTTTCTTCACCAGCTCCAGTTCTGCTGTTCGGATTCTTTCTCCCCCGTCCTTTACATTGCTCCATGGATGTGTCTTGGCTGTCACCTTGACTTTGCTACTTTGATCTTCTTCTCACAATGCTAAGCACCTTTGGAGAGAGCCCTCGAATTTCACTGCCAAGTGTGTGGGGAGAATGCTCAAGTTACTTGAACGAATACTTAAGGTTCGAAGATTTTTTTTTTTTTTTTAAACAGATTTATTGTAACATCAACTCTGCAACAGAACTTGGAGCGTCCTGGCCTTGATGCTGACAGAGCTGAGCAGTCCTGCTGGTATGATGGGCTTCCTGAGCTCAAGGCTTTTGTCCGAGGACACCTTCCACAAAAAGTATGCCGGGCGCTACCAGGCCCTGGCTGGTATTACAGCACAAGCTGTAATCACGATTAGGAAGAAAAGGATGTTACGCAAGTTTGACAGTGTTGTTTGACAAGACGTGCAACAATACGCGATCAGACAACTGTTGACTTTTCAAGGAAAAACACGTGTGTGAGACCACACAAAAAAGCCTGGTGGCTGGTGAAAACATGATTCATACGCAGATGCCTTGGGTGAGGAAACAGATCAGGCCTTAAAGTTTGTTAATTTAAGAGGCACAGAGCAAAAATATCTGCTTAATGGAAAATGAATCCATAAAATGGTCATCTTTAGTCAGTACTACATTTTTTTTTAGCAAAGCGTTGACCTTCTTGCCACTTTTCTTTGTTCTTAACCGAGCCTCCCTCTACACAATAGCACAAGCACTGTTTGTATTTGAACCTTTAGCATCGGTGACTGTTCCCTTTCTCCTGCTTCATGCTCTATTTCTGTCTGCCCTCTGCCCATACCTTCTCCCCCCTCACCCTATTTCTCTGCGCTGCAGCCCACCCATCCCGGGGGAGGACACTCATTTCGCCCTTCAACATGGGCGAGGAGCACTCCGAAGGCCAGAAGCGATGACTCAGTGGGTCCACGCGTGTGTCATGGGGTGAGCCGGTGGACAGGACTTAAAAACAGCTAACCAGCCAGAGGGCTAACACACAAACAACGTTGAAGGGGCTCGATTTTGGGGAGGGTGGGGATGGAGTTGAAGAGGCTCGATTTTGTGTTTTTTTTTGTTCGATTTTGTGATTTTTGTGCTGACACATTTGGGGGGGGGGCTGGTGTGTGGAGAGCTTGTGTTCACCCCACAGAGGGAGCTGCTTGAGACGGCTGCGCTTTGCCTCGACCAGACACGAGCGGTGCCTCAGCAGCCCTGTGAGGAGCTGTGGCGCCGCCGCCATTACGTGAGGCGGGCGGGCGGGCGGGCAGCCCTGCCTCCCCCTCGCCATTAGCCGGCGCTGCGCCGCAGCTCCGCCCGGGGCGGGGAGCGGAGCGGGGCGAGGAGGTGGCGGGGCTTCCTCCTCCTCCTCCTCCTCCTCCTTCTTCTCCTCCTCCTCCTCCTGCTCGGCTTCTCCCGTGCTCGCCTCGCCTCGGGGTGGTGGTGGTGGCGGCGGCCGGGCCATGGTGCGTCGCGCCCGGCTGGCGCTGGTGGCGGCGGCGCTGGTGGCGCTGGGGGCGCCGTGCGGGCAGGGGGCGCGGGCGCTGGAGTGGTACACGGCGTGGGTGAGCACGGCCTACGTGGAGCCGCTCAGCAACCGCACGGTGCGGGGCAACACCGAGAGCGGCCGCTACGGCGACAGCTCGCCCAAGGAGAGCGCCCAGGGCTTGGTGGGCATCCCCCGCGGCGCCTCGCCCCGCCACATGGAGGGCTGCGCCGCCGACACCGACTACGACGTGCCCCTGCCGCCCGGCGGCCGCCCGGCCCCCGAGGGGGAGCCGCCGGCCTGGATCGCGCTGGTGGCCCGCGGCGGCTGCACCTTCAAGGACAAGATCACCAACGCGGCGAGGAAGCGGGCGGCGGCCGTGGTCATCTACAACGAGGCCCGCTTCGGCAACAGCACCGTCTCCATGTCCCACCTGGGTGAGCGGGGCCGGGGCGAGGAGGAGGAGGAGGAGGAGGAGGCGGCTTTGTCTAGCGCAGGTCGCCCCCAGATGCCTCCTGCAGCTGGAGCTGTGTGGGGACAGCTTTGTGGTACCATCCCCCGTGCAGGGCTGTGAGGGAGATGGGAGCGCCAGGTAGCTGTGAGGTAGGGGGACTGGTGGATAGAGGAAAGAAAAAATGTTGCCGGGGCTTGTCTGAGCATGCTTATCTGTCGCCTGCAGGAAGGATCCGCGATTCCTGCAGGTACAATGGGGCTCCCCTGCTCTGTCGCCGCAGCCCCTGCTCGGGCTGTGTGGCTGAAGCGCGCTGCTGGGTGCAGTGAATGTGTCCGGATCAAACCCGTACCCTAAAGGGGGAGGAACGCCTCAAAACCCTGCTGTAAAAATCTGTTAGCGTGTGCAGGCTGCCGAGGAGCTGGAAGGCCTTCAGGGAAGGACAAAAAGGCAAAGCACACCATCAGAAACGTTGATAGCGCGTGGTACTGGTGCAGTGAGTTTGCTAACGGTCATCTCTTGGCGGTGAGGAGGAGGAAGACCAGCGATTTGGTTGAAGTAGAGCTATAAGGCACTTCTAAAGAAAATAAACTTGCTTTCTTTGATATAGCGAGCTGAAAATCTCTTGGAGCTGTAGCTTCCAGAGCATGTATAACATACTGGATGTATTGGCTTGGCCCGTTTCTTGCTTTCTTAATCCACTGTGAAAGTGGAGGGGGGGTGCTAGGTAAGATGTACCTTCAGTTTTGGTTTTGTGTGGCAATTAAGATTATTCTTTTTGTAACTTTTTTACTTTTTCCCCCCTTGTTGCCACTCTGTGTTGGTCAACTGGTACAAGTTTTTCTTCTGTTTTTCCTCTCGGGTGGAATTTTCCCACATTCCACCCCATGCCCCGTCATAGCCTCTCCTAGCTATTATTTGCTTTTCCATGAAACCTCTTCTTCCTTATCTTATTTTCTCTTTTTTTGTCATCTCTGTTCTGCAGATGACCTTCTTGTGTTGATGCTTCAGTTCAGACATGCTGCTGTAGTTACATTTATCAGTGGTATGAGGAGAAGTCCTCCCCGACTGCTGCTGCTCAGTTAACATTTTTCTTTGTAAACTGTCAGAATTTTGATGACAAAAGCTCTCCCTACGTAAAAAAGTGTGTTTTAGTATAGTGTACGTACAAGCATACGTACTTATTTAAACTGACTCCACAAATGCAGGTTGGACCTCAGGATGGTTTGGAGGGGGTGGGAATATACCATGTAAAAATATCAGCACTGTCTGTGAGTAACAGATTTTTGCTTTATGGTGGCAACTTTCAAATGTGTAAGTGTTTAATCTAACTAGCTACTAAAATTTTCAGTGCACTTTGCTGGAAACAGAGGGAAGAATTACTGCTAGTGTTTTAAATCTTGGATTGTTTGAAGAAAAAGGCTGTAGAAGGCAAGGGAGCATATGGAATATAAAGCAGTGTTTTTACAGCATTCAAGCTTGCCATTCCTCTGAAAGGATTTGTGAACTGACATAGAAGGAAACCCTGCTTGTGAGAGGAGTGCTCGGAATAAATACTGTAGGAAAACTGCAGTGCTGTAACTGAGGAGTGGAGCTGCAGGCACGAAGAACATCCACTGAGTGGATCTGCAGTTGGTGGCACTGGAAATGGTGTGAGATGGAGCGATCGTTCATGCTGATAGAGGTGCAGCCTGACTTACATGCGGATGATAAGTTGGTAACTTTCCAGATTTGGTGTTTTTACTTATTCCTGCAGGAGTGTGAAGATTCTTGAATAGGCAGATATTAAAGGTGATTTGCTCTAGCTGTTGTCAGAGCATTTGGTGAAGGACAAATTCTGCAGTTTAGTTTTTCCTTTTGTTGGTATTTTGTGTGCTTCACGAGTGCAGTGAGTAGGGGTTTTAATTGCAGTTTTGGAGCAGTAGAGCCAAGAGTTTGACTATAAAACCTTGCAATCCTGCTCCTTTTTTTTCTAGAAGAAAGTCCTTCAGATATGACTTTTTACTGATGTCTCATGTATTTCAGGTCTTTGGTCTCTGTCTGAATTGAAATGTTGGAAGTCTTGTCTCCTTGAGGGAAGCAATGGAACAATTTCACGTGTGCCTGAGGAGTTTTTTTCCAGTGGAAAGTATTTATTTTACCTGAATGACTCGAGCAGTTGCACTTGTTACTGAATCTGAACGGTACAAACTCAAGTTTCAGTTTCAAAAGAATACGGACATTTTTAACTGTTTATTTTTGGTGCTGGTGGTGTGGGAACTTAATGTGATACAGAGGCTTCAGATTCCTTTCCAGAAAGAAAATAAATATTGTATACAAATACTTAGCTGGCAGTGGGTTGGAGAGGAATCTGAAGAGGCAAGGTGTGGGGTGTTGTGGAGAGCAGAATGAGTTAGAGGCGCTGGGCTGGTTGAGAAATTAGGGGGAGGCAGAGGTATATCACAGTGGAAAGAAGGGGTCTGTCAGTTCTGTATTTTCTGTTATAATGATGTTTTGAAAAGCTCTTGGCAGCTCCCAAGAGGCAGGGTTAGGGTTATTTTGGCATCTGCTTCAACTCTTTGCCACATTTCTTTCGGAGACTGGAGTGCTGCTCGGGATTGTCGAGTGGTGCATAACTTCTGTGTTACTGATGCTTTCTGCTGAAGGCTTCTGGTGCTCTTCTGCTAAAAGGGCAGAACTGAAATCAGCAGCTTGCTGAACTTGGACAGTCATGTTGACCTGCTAAACTGTTCTGAAGACACAGAAGTGGCTTCTACATGCTGCTACATTATTCTGTATGTAAAAGGACAGGCGCATTGGAAACCTGTGTGGAAAGAAGGATGCGTACCTGTACTGGTTGCTTAACCACTTGACTCTTCTGGCTGCATGTCCCGCGCCTTCAGGCAGGTGGAAACACAATATGAACCTGGGGTGTGGGGGGAGGACAGTGGGTTGGGTGGCTGAGGACCAGCTCGTCACCTGATGGCTGTTGTGCTGCTGAGCCTCGGTGGAGATCAGAGGCTTCGTTTTGCAACCGGGAGCCAAAGAGCATGTCCGATGGTAATTGTGGTGATTTAAGTAGGATGCCTAAATAGATCTAAGGGCTGACCTCCAGCGTTTTACCAGGGTGCTCAAACCTTGAGAGCTTTCTAATGTTTCTCCTCAGGACAAAAAAAAAAAAAAGACTGGCTGCAGTTGCTTTCTGGATGATTAAAAATGATCTTTAAGGTATATGTAGGACTGGACAGAATTGAACGTGCCAGTTTAAGTTGCCCGAAATCAGGATTTTAATCTATATGGCACTCTCCACATCAGGAATGATGACTTCATCTGCAGGAGAAGGCTGTAACAATAGGAGCAGTAAAACTGACCTTGGCGTGCTAGCAGGAAACGTACCTTCATCTCCAGAGCTTCAGACTTGTCCTTATTTCCAGGTATCCGAAGGATTTGCCAGCTCTCACCGCTCTATTTGGATGATAATGTAACCAAAAAAAAAGCACACACCAGATTTCAAATCTACCCAATACCACTGAAGCATCAAGAATATCTTAAAAAAATTAAAAATAAATAAAGTAAGGTGGTATTTAGGGTATGAATGTGTCTGCTTTCTGCGGGGTTAGAAACAGTTGTGTAGCAGTAAGGCCACGAAAGCGTGCTCTCAAGGCATGTGTGTGGCACTGCGATTTTTATAGGTGTGATTTATGGTCTGCGAGTTGTGTTGCAGTTGAAGCTGATGGGATGACTCAACAGCATTTGTCTTTGAATAATGCGTTTTCAGAACAGAAGTCTAAAATTAGAGCGAGGAATGAGTTAAAGTCCTTAGTCTTACAGGCTGCTCAGGGCAACTGCTTCTCTGAGGCTGCTTTTGTAACAGTGGGTATCAATTTTTTTTTTCTTCCCCTCCTTGTGTCTTGTGACCTTCAGGGCTATCGTGTTTAACTGAGTGTCTCTCTGATAGATTGATCACGAGTCTTTAAAACTGTTCAGATGCTTTTAATGGAAATTTGCTTAAAAACGTATGCATTACTTGGGTTAGGTTCTTCAAACGGGAAGGTGTCACAGTCTCTAGCAGCTGTTGCACAAAAATACCCTGCCTTCCTGTGCAAGTAAATAACTGGCTGATAGGTGGACGTGCTACTGACAAGACAGAAGTAGGCATTGCTGGTTGTTGTGGGTTTTAAAGTCATTTTGGTGTTAGGAGTTGTGGAGAGAGCTATGCAGCAGGTTTAAACCAGCTCTAGATTTTGGGTTTGGGGAGGAAGTCTGTACTGATCGAAAAATCCAGGCTGCTTCCAGTCTTTTCTTCTCCAAGGCAGAGTGAAATGACCAAAGCCTTTCTCCGAGGCTCCTGGCACTGTGCATGAACTGTCCTCAAGCCCCCATCCTGGTATTTGTAAGTCTTGCAATTGCTTAAACACCTATGTGGATCAGGATCTTGGGGAGAAAGCTCTCATTGACGTGGGATGTGCTTTTACCTTAATGATTTATTTTTTTTTTCTTGGTAATTCGTAGAGGTGCAGCGCAAGGACAGAAAGCAAGGAAAGCTTCACCCACCTCTCTGCAGGATTCCTTAGCCTCTCCGGTAATGCTTTTGGGCTGGCTTAGGGAGCAGAACAATGCTCACTAACCAATTCTGAGTGTGCTTGGACTTGTGGAATCATGTGAATAAGCACGTTGCTGGTGAGTAGGGCTAATTAGGAAGCGAGTTGCTTGTGGATTTGTCCTGTTTGCCTTCAACTTCGCTGCTTTGTGCCTTGTACGAAACCCGCTGGACAAGACAACACATGCTGAGAGCTAGGTGAGAGCTGCCGGTGAGCAGATGCGGGATGGCTGAGTGGAGACCTACGCTGGGCCTTTCTCCACTAGCACCTTTTTCCCCGTAATCCTCAAAACTTGGAGAAACCCAGCCCTGTTTGGGAACCCTGCCCCTGTGCCAGGTCTGAACGTGGCCGGCGGGTGTAATAGCTCTTACAGGAGGTGAGCACAAGTGGGCTGGTTGCGTAAGGTGGAGCTGAAAAAGGCTGCCTGGCGTTCAGATCGGGGGATTATTCAGCTCCTAACTGGGACTTTCAGCGTTTCATCCACAGCCATCTGTACCTTCTGCAGCTCCTGCCAGCTGCCCTTTGTGTGGCAGCAGAGTGGTGTGGCTGGTGGAGCAGTCCCAGCTGGAGGGGTTGTTTGAAATGCTTAAAGCAGATAGCTTTGTGCTGTTGAAGGAAGTAGGTGAGTCCAAAATGGTTATTTTTTTGTTGTTGTTTTCTAAACCCCACTTGACATAATGCTGCAAATTAGGCAACCGTGTGTTTTGACATAGCTTCTCACTAGAGAACATAGCTGGGAAGGCAGAGCGCTTCCTCTTCAGTGAGAGGTTTTGCTGCAAGTATGTAGAATCTGGAAAGGTAGCTGTAACGTTACAGCTTTAGCTGCTCTGTTAGGAAACCCCCTCCTTCTTCCTTGACTTTCTCCCCGAATCAAGCTTAGTTTCACTTTCTCAGAGATAGGAGAGCAAAGTAAACTAGAAAGCCATAATTTACCCAGGGCGTATAGCAGTGTTGGTACACACGAAAGTGAGAACTATTTGAATACAAATGGCTTAGACCGGTGAAAAGGTGACATTTTAATAAGTATGTTTGCTTGCCATTTATTTTGCAAGACTTGTCAGGTGTTTCTGAGACAAGTACTGGAGATGCTGCTAGACAAAACTGAACAAGGCTCTAGTTGCAAGAGATCTTTGTTTCTTCTTGGTGGTCTTGACAGTATCTTAACTTGTTTGGCTGCGGTACGGTGGTGCTTAAAGTCTTCTCGGAGTTAGGTGCTTTTCTCCCCATATGGATTGAGTGCTTTTGAGTTTAAATATATATTTTTTTAAAAAGTTATTTGGTTGCATGCTCCCAGAAGGGTCCCAAAATGCTTCTTTACAAGTCCTTGTCTTGAAGTCTCATTAAAATCTGAATATTTAGTAGTAAAGAATTAAGCATTTAAATGTTTAATGTAGCTGAATATTATCTAATTTTTTTTTTGTTGTTCACATATCCAGCCTAATTGTGCTGTGGATTCCAATTCAAACTGAACTGAACGCGTCTCTTTTTGTGGCAGTTCATATACTGTCTCCAGCTGCAGCTAAAATTCTTATGCTAACAAAGACCAGCTGCGCTCGGGTTGCACGTTAGGACTTCAGCAAATTCCAGATGAGTGGTGTATAACTTGCCTGCCTTCTGCGTGGCATCTATGCCCCGTTTTGCTGTATGGAATGAGGAGTATAGGGCTTTGGTAACAGTAAAAGGGCATCTGCTGAAATTTTTCATCCACTTGAGAGTTTCATAATGTAAGTAAAGGGTTCTTTATTCAACTTAAGTTCTTCTATGCCTGAAAAAAAAAAAATTAGGATTTTTTTTTCCAGTTTTAATCCCTGTTCTTAACTAAAGAGACCCAAAGTACCGTCAAACCAGAATGCCAAAATTCTCACTCTTTCTTTTTTTTCCCCTCTCCAACAGGAACAGGAAACACAGTGGTGATAATGGTTGGTTATCCAAAAGGCATCGAGATACTGGAGCCAGTACGAAGAGGCATCCCGGTGAAAATGACGATTGTCGTTGGCACGCGTCACGTGCAGGAATACATCAGCGGTCAGTCGGTTGTGTTCGTCGCCATCGCCTTCATCACCATGATGATTATATCGCTTGCCTGGCTCATATTTTACTACATACAACGTTTCCTGTATACGGGATCACAATTTGGAAACCAGGTAATTGTGGATGAGGCTTTAAAGCATTTGCAGTCTTTGTGTCAAATCAATTGCCTAACGCTTTTTTTTTATTGAAGCATTCTTGAAGACCTGTACCTCCTTGCTACTGCATGATCTATGAACACTACTCAATAATAGTTGGTGAGGCTAATAAATAATAAGCTAATTGGCACCGCAAGCTTGACTAATGGTAATTATTAGATACCAGTATGAAGTAATAGGAAATATATTTAGCCAGTCATCATCAAAAACTGAGTAAAGGCAGCTTCTTATGTGGTTTGTCACCTAAGTTAATTTCTTGTGTCAAAAGGTCAGAGGCTATTTGCATTCTTATGTAATTTTCATTCTGAAAGTACAGATTTTACTAACCAGAATAATTTTTTTAATGGAGAAAGACCATGGTAACTTTTTTCATAAGATGCAAGTAATTGGGGCTAAAATTTTTGTTTCTAAAGCTTTATGAAAAATGCTTGTCATACCTGTAACTTGAACTACAGCAGACTGCAAGGAGCATGTGTGGCGAGATTCAGCTCTTTCAGGCTGTCAGAAGTTCTGAGAGTGGTGGGAGTACTGGAAAGATCAGGAAGAGATAACTTTGGTCCTACTTTCTTTGCCCCTTCCAAATCCATATTTTTGTCCGAGATAGTTTTAGGGGAGAACAAAGCAACATCAAAAAACACAAAACAAAGGATTTTGACTTCAGGAGTCTGAGCTCTGATCGTAACTTACAGGACTGTCTTAGGAAAAGAAATTTGTAGTCTACTTGAGGTGTTGATTCCCTTTAGTGCTTTCTTATTAATATTTAAGTTTTAACATTTGTATTCTGGGAATATTTTCAAGAAAATAAAATTTGAGAAGTTTTTACAGAAAAAGAAAGGGCATTACAACACACAAACTCTCTGGTGAAGAAAGGTATTTCTTCCTGTTACATTGGCTTTGATACAATTCGCACTAGGGGGACTTCAAATAGTTTGTGTTATTTAGATTGAATGTGATGTTTCCCAAAATAAGTGCCACAAACTCTTAATAGTTTGTCATCTAAATGCCTCGTAATTGAGTAGTCTAGCACTAGAAGGCTGTATCACTTTCCTTAGTTCTTCTTTTAAAACTACTGTTGAAAGAAAAAAAACCTATGTATATCTTGGACTAGATACATTGTTAGAAGTCTTACAGTGAATTTGGGAAACAAAAACTTACTTTTCTAACCCAAATTTTATTTGTTTGGCTTACTGAATTCAGAGTAATTAAACCTTGGAAGTCAGTTATGGTATGCTTTAAAACAAACTACTATGTAGCTGCTGAGTGAAGGCGAAGAAGGGTATCTTATGATTTATTCTAAAATTAGTTTAACAGCAAGTCTTTGGAAGAACTTGCTACAGAAGATGAAACAGGACCATATAGGAGATCCTGAGCTGGTAGCGAAGGTGGACTAGGCTGTTGCTGGTCAAGTTCACTTAGAGGGAATTGTTGGACAACTTTTTAGCATCACTTACTGATTTACAGTATTGATTTTCTTATTTTTTATTTTATAAAGGATACAAGTCATTGTAAGTATTGTTAAAGGGGGAAGCTGCCATTAAGTTTTTTTTTGATTCCCCTATGGTGTTTCATCAGTGAGGGATCCTGCTAGACAGATCAAACTCTAATTGGGAGCGTTTAGTTTCTAGCAGTAGCTGTCTCTTTGTCTGGGAATACAGTACTGCTTTATTTTCTTGCTTCCCCTCCAAGCATAATTAGGGCTGTTACTGTATAGAAGTCCAATATGGTGCCTCACGTCTGTTAAGCCTTTCTTGTCGTCTCCTTTGCATAATGTGTCCTTTCAGTGTAAAGCTTTGTATAATGTGTTAGGCAGTGTTTAACTGAGGGGCGGTATTAATAGCTACAAGCAGCCTTTTGACCTGGTAGCCCAGCTGTAGGCTACTCGGCAGGATTCCACCTTCTCTCCAGCTCGTGTTAAACCTACGTACAGCCTGCTTGCTCATGGCTTTGCTGAACAAGAAGGTCTGGTTATACTGCTGTTGTTTCAGCTCTGAGCGCCTCTAAAGTGTAAATTAGCTTCAGTTTTCCAGTGTGGGAAGGCCCTTGGTGCAGGCGCTTACTGTACAGGGCTACATGCATCAGTTTGGCCCGCATAGTTGTGTGCCAGTTGAGCCTATTGTTCGAGCAGTGTGCCTACAGATAATGTTTTCTATTGTGCCTCAAGAATGCAAAACTTGCAGTCCCTCAGCATCTGCTGGCTGGAAGTATTTTGTAAACAGATTATCTAGCATTCAGAAGACTTAATAATCCCCATAAAAAAATATTTAAGCTTTGAAGTGTAACTCCTAAAACTAGATTCTGTACTAATACTTCAAATTTTATTCAAGGGACATAGGAAAGAAACCAAGAAAGCAATCAGCCAGCTTCAGCTGCATACTGTGAAACGTGGAGACAAGGTAATGTGGTGGCTTTCATTACTGTCGAATGATTTGAAATCTGCTGTAATGCCTTTATAGAGTTGAAACTGAATTTATTGCAAGATAACCACAATGTGACTCTTACAATTTTAGGTTCATTTTAGTGGCTTTGCCTAGAAGGATGATCTTAAAATCGAAGAGTCAACATTTAACCGTTTATGAAATGTAAAGCTGTTTTGCAGAATGTTGCAGGAAACTAAAAAGGGCTGATACTGTAAAGATGAGGAAATACTGATCTTATCAGCACTTGAAAACATCAACAGGTGGATTGTGAAATACTTCCTAGGACCTATTGACTGCACAGTTTGTACAGCTGATGTAATGTTTTCTTTTCATTTAAGAGAACATCCATCTTCTTATTGATAAGAAAGCCTTGGTAATCTAAAGCTTTGAAAATGAAACACTTGGTTTAGTCTTTTTTTTAAACTTACAATACATTAAGGAGCAGTATCGGCTTGAAGTATAAATATTTAAAGAAATATATTTTTTATATTAGGATAAAACTATTCTAAAGTTTTAGCACAACTTTCAGAAAGTTAACTCTTTGAGCATAAGGCCTAAACTCGCAACTATTTGAACAACTGTATGAATTAGAAAAAAAAAAATCCAAGGTTTTGAAAGAAAATACTTTTATTCTGTTCTTAGGCATCTATGTACCTAGATACTACATTAGCTTCTGACTAGACTTCTGGTACCATATAGTTGGTTTTTTTTTTTCTTACCCTTATTTGTCTTATTTGATTAACTTTTACTTAAGGACTGACTCACTTAGCGATGGAAAACCAAGGATTTTCTTTTAAATTGATTAATATAATTAAGGTGAGAGAGGACACTTAACTTCAAAAATGTGTTTCAACAGAAGCTATTTGGCTCAAGTGACATGCTACAGGGTGTATGTACTTCATGGAGTAAACTAGTTTGATGTTAAAACAAGCTGTCTCAGAGCTTGCCTTTTTTTTTTCCCTTTTATGCATTCAGCATGCTTAGCATTTTAAATGTATGTGTTATTTTAATTAAATTGTAAATTCCATCAAAAAATAACCAATTTCAAGCTCTGAACAGAAGGATGTACATACTTCTGTTTATACAATGATGAAACTGGAGAGAAAGGAGGATGGAGCTGAATCAAAACTTGCATGAAGCAGTATCACAGCATAACATCAGCATAAGTAGAAATGGATGTAAGAGAGTCATGATGAACTCTGTGGTGAGGACCACAGTGAACCTGTTAATTGCTTTTAAGTTGACGTTCAGTCAGCCTCTAACAAGGATTGTTTTAGGAGATTTCGCATCAGGAATTTCCTTCCCATCAATATACCCATGATGAAAAAAATGTAAAAACTTATTAAAAAAAAAAAAGTAAAATTTTAACTAGGTTATTGTGCAGCATGCTGGTAGTAACTATGAATGTCACGTTGATTAAGCAAAGTAGAATGAAATTAGATTAAAACATCTAAAATACAGGTTTTCTGCTTTGTAAACCATGGTTTACCATTTGATTTGAATCATCAAACTGTCAGCAAATTTCAGGAACTTATTGACGCAAATGTACCTTCATGAACTTATCAGAAAAGACAGTCCTGTCTCTATATAAAGGCAAAACATATTTCAGTTGTTAGGTTTGAAAGAGTGCCACCGTTGTGATACAGTACAGCCTTTCATTATCACTTCTTTCGGAGTTGAGGTGTTTAACTAAAAACGGGTCAACATTTAAAAATTGTATTTGCTATCACGTAGATCTTTCTGAGAAGTTTATGGGATTATTGCGAGATGCACACATTTGGTTATGTGCTGCATGCTTGGATTTTGTCTCCCAAGGAATAAAAAAAAAATATTACAGAATAAATGTGTATCTTATTTTGACTTTGCTTATTTTTTAACAAAAGATTTACTTAGGAATTTGAAGCATTAAGTATGTAAAATGATAGTATGTAAAGGAGGGAAAAACTTCCCTTGAACTTGAAAGTTCATTCGCAGTACTTAATTCATTTGAATGTTTGAGATGATTTTTAACTGCTTCAGTCAGCAGTAAACATGAAATATACTTGTGGGAGATGAAAGGGAAGTTGGTCTGCTGTATGTTCTTCTAATGCTTGTTTTATACAATTCAATTAACACTGAATTACTTGTCAGGAGGTACCTATCATACTTGCACTGTTAGGATAAGTATGGCTTCAAGATGGCAGAAAGACTTGTTAGGGAAGATACATAGCCCTTAAGAAGAAATAAGCTGGGGGGCAAAAATGGTATGATTTGAATTCTCTGGTGTGAGCTTGGAGAGATGTTCTAAAAATCATCCCAAATTGTTACTTCAGTTCTCCTCCTCTAGCTTCCAAAGGATATTTACTAGGATGTGGTAGAAGGAAAAAAAAACAACAAAAAAATATATATGGGAAGATGAGGCTTGTAGTACTTAACCCTAAGAATCTCCTCCTACTTAATCTCTTGCAAGTCTTTGGGACCATCAGTAAAAATAAAATGAAAGCACAGCACACTATTTTATTTTATCTGTGACCTCGTGTAAAATTTCTTGATTTTAATTATCTGTTGTTCATTGGGAGCAGAGTAAAATCTTAAAGACAGCGTTTGAGGCATAACAAATGGCTTAAGATACCATGTGTAGTTATTTAAATTAGAAAATCTGAATTGGGCTAGTTTTTAATATTAGGTATCGCTTGATCAAATTGCCTCTTGATTGAATCTTGATTTAAACGAGGGAGACATTTTTATTTCCTAAGCCAATTTATACCACGTTTTGTGAAATTATATATTACTCAAAGCTTGTTCTGTAATTACATGTGAATGTAATTTGCACATTTAAATGTGTTATCTTTAGGGTTTAGATGTTGATGTGGAAAACTGTGCTGTGTGCATCGAGAACTATAAACTGAAAGATACTGTTCGAATTCTGCCATGCAAGTAAGTCACTGTAATTACTCTCTTCTGTTTGTACTATGTTTTCCCAATGAAAAATTCGATGAGCCTTCTGGAAACTCTTCTGAAAATGCTGGCAGAGCTGAAGCTGTGCCGTTTGTATGGCCTGTTACATGTTGAAGGGCACTAGGAGACAATACACCACCCCGTGTTAGTGGGGGAAAAGGAGCAATTGGGAGAAGTGTAAAAATGAAGTAGAGCTTTCTTAATATTGTTTGAATTGTGCACTTGAAGTGATAGCTCAGTAGTGTCATTGTAGTTAGTAGCATCTTTTATTTTGGATTAGCATGGCAGATAAAGACATTTCCAGAACTTATGGTTATGTCTGTCCTATTAATTTAAGCAGTGCTTAAATGTCAAAGTCACAGAGGAATTGGGTTACCTATTAAGGTAGTAATTTGCGCATCTTCTAAAAGAGTAATGTTTGATATTTCATTACGAGTTCTAAAGGGTGTTTGTTTTCTTTAGGCACATCTTCCATAGAACGTGCATTGACCCTTGGCTTTTGGACCACCGAACTTGTCCAATGTGTAAACTAGATGTTATCAAAGCTTTGGGATACTGGGTATGTTGCACGCTTACCTTTAATCTTCAAGAAAAAAGCACAGTGCAGGAAGCACGGCTTCCTGTAACTGTTCAGAATGACAACAGTTGTTACAGCTGTTACTTGGCTAGACTGAAGAAGCTGGGCAAAGAAATGAATTTTTGATGAGAACTGGAAAAAGTGTGGCTTTTGGGTAGGAGCTTAGTGTGGAAGAGCTTATGAATCCTCAGCGTACTCTCTTGTGATAGCCTTTTTTTTTTCTATCAACAACCAACAATAGTAATGAAGTTTAAGCAAAGGTGAGGCAATTTGCCCAAGCTACAAAACTATAAATTCAGTAGGTCTTGTGTGTATACTTGATCTTGCTGAGAACAGTGATTCAAAGGAAATAGTGATTTTTTTTTCCTATAGTTTAAGTGTATTTGTGTATGCTTCCACATATGCTAAGTGCTTTATCCCTGTAAGTGAGCCAGTACTGAGAACCTTCCTAAAGACATTCATCAGAAATTGGTTAAATAGAGAAAATGATGTGCTCTCATTTCTTCCTGACAGCACCAGAAAAGAGAGATGAAGACACATGCGGTAGGTTACTTGGTCACTGTTGATAAATAGTCTCGAGTTCCACTAAAATGCCATAGGCATGAACGTACCTCTTCTCTTCTACTGATCTATAGAGGTCTTCAGAAAACAGAGGCGTTCCTTGGTTTCAGGCTTCCTTTCATTGGCTAGGTTTGCATTTTGACTAGCTTTTCTCTTACTTCATTAGAGACTTATCAAGTCTGTGGATGACTAACGTTTTGTTTTGTGAGAAGTGACAATACTCTTGCTACGTAGCGTGTATGTAAGCATGTATTGTCTCTATATATACACGCACCAAATTATGGTGGCTCTGTGTAGTAAGGCTTTATCCAAGAATTGCAGTGTTCTCATGTGAAATAACTTGCCACATTAACATTAGTACGTTAATGGCTTACTGCTAGCTCATTTTCAATTCTTGGTGTTAATATAACTTGTGTTCTATGCGATGAAAGGATATATCCCTCTGTATACAGTCTCAAAGCCGAGACACTTTAAAATCTAAAACACTTCTATCCCCTGAACTCGTACTGATACCAGCTCTAACCAAGAGGAGTAATGTCTCCTCTGCTTGTTAGGTGAAAAGAATGTAGGAAGCAAGTCAAGCAGGGTTATGTTAAGTACAGGGTTATGTTAAGTTCTGTAAGTACAGAAGCTCTGTTCTCTTTTCTGATGGAATGGGGGAATTGTCTTGCTTATGTGTCAACCGTTCAAGTCATGCTGAAATTAGCAATGCGAGAAGTCATTCAGGTTTTCTAGCTCAGTTTTCAGCCTGATCCAGGTTGCCCAACCTGATTTGTAAAGTGTTTGTGTGAACATCTTGTTGATGTGAGGACAAGTGTGAAGAGCAAGGCAGTTCTTTCAGGAGTGTGCTGGCTGAGTGACGCAACGGCAGACACGAGCATGCAGCCTTGTTAAAGAAGTCTGCTGAACTCTGCAAAGAGTCTGAAGGCTGACCTCAATTTTATGGTAAACAACTTCGCTGCTGCAGCTTTTTCAAAGGGCTCAAGGTAGAGGGAAGGCAGGAGGGCCAGGTACCTGCCTTGTGTCCTGCAAACAGCAGGCTTCTAGACTGTAGTCTTCAGTGATCTAGTTACTACTTCCTAGGGGAAAAAGAGAGCTGTATTTCACCACGTCTGACTTACTGACTTAGTAGGACATTGTTGAATCTTATATCTTTGCTTATTTAGCTGCTGAAATTTTGGAAACAAAATCATTAATCCTTTCCCCAGTACACACACACACCTGGAGGTTAGTATCGTTTGTGTCTTAACTTGTATTCAAATGTAGTTCTATAGCTTATTTGAAACGAATGTTTTGATGCTAAAGAAAGGATCAGCGTGGAATTTCTTAGGATGGGCCTTTGATAAATGAGGAGGGGGGGGAAAAGGTTCATCATGAAGCCAAAGAAGAGTTATTTCTACTGTAGTGTACTTGCTTATGTTTAAATTATATTAGTATGTTAATGGCAATGGCTTAAGGTTCAATTTTAGGAACAGAATTGTGCATGTAGGAGTTATTCTAAAAATCGTATTATTACAAATAGCTTGTGCTGTACAACAGGTGAAATAAGTTCCTTTGCTCATGCTGCGTATGTTCCTGCAAAGTGAGAAGCTGTCACATTTGTATTTTGAGGACAGGTTTTTAAAGTTAGACTGGAGGAAGGAGAGGAGGGAAACTTTCTCATGTCAAATGTTTGTTCACCCCAGTAAACAAATCTAAACTTGCCAAACTACTATCATGGAAAAACAACGATTTCTACAGATGTGTAAAGGATCAATAGGTTTACTCAGTGAAGACTTGATATTTGCTGAGCATGCTCCTAACCAGTCTGCAGCAAAACTGTTCTCAAGTGTTGACACACTCCATCTGAAAGGCTCGCTGAGTTGACTCCTGCCACTCTCAGCTTATTCTGTTTCTTTGGTTTCTGATGGAAATAGATGGATATTAGGAAATCGGTTGGAAATAGATGATATTTAATACTGTGCCCATGAGGACACCTGTAATAAGCAACACTAGATGAAAAAAAGGCCATTTTCTAGTAACCTGAGGTTATAAAGTGGTAATATGGAGGCCTGTGGGTAGGCAGAGGTGTCAGTTAATGTGTTTAATTTTGAAGGGGGACTCTGAAGACCCACTTGAAGTTCCAATACCTGAATCAATAAGTGGCAGTGTTTCAGTTGGAAGCCTGAGTATCGCTCTACAAGAAGACGACAGAAATGAAGTGAGTGAATTGTCAGCTTCTTCCACCAGTGAATCTGTGTTGCAGTGTACCAGTCTAAAAGAGGATGCAGGCGAAACCACAGCATTACTTGGTAAGTAATACGTTGGTTTATCACTTGACGATCCTTGATGCCATTAATTGCATTAGAAGGAGACTTTCTCCAAGGGATTTTAGTGGTCTTAGTATTGCAGTGCAGACCAGATTGAGTGGTGTTACTGCTGATGTTCAAAAAACAGAAGCAGGTAGATTTTGAGGGAATCCCATCAAGATGAAGAAAATTGGTCTTAAAAGGAAAAAAAGATGTAAATAGTGTTTTGGGAGGATTTATTACCTAGAGATAGAACATATACATGAATATTTGATTTGTTTCCAGACTTTAGATTATTGTGCTTTATATGTTAACTTAAAAAGGTGAATGTAGAAACAAATTTTCTTTTAATTCCTGGCTTCTAGATGTGGATGTCAGTAATAACCGACATGGAGAGCATCTATCTAATGGAAATTCCCACTGAACTGCTTCACAGAAGATACCTTGAATAGACTGTTGAAGAACTATTATTTTTTATTTAAGTAGTATGAACTCGTCTGGTTAATGGAAAAATAACAATGTAAATTATTTTACCTTTCAAACTTTTCTAGCTGGTGTTCCAAAAGGGCTAATAACTAAGAATTTTGTACACAAGAGGATTTTATAAAACTTCCTCTGGATGTCTCATCCTATGAAAAGATGCAATAACCCTTTTTCTGTAAGCATTATTACAATGTCGTTGTGTTCCAGAGGGCTGTAACAAAGTTGAAGACTAGGCAGTGAAACAATGTAGAACGTCTAATGGATAAATAGTTTGGAAGCACTATTCATGATCCATATGTGTATATATGGAGAACACTTACAAGGCTACAACTATTAAAATGTTCTGAAAGTCCTGTTGTAATTGGAGATGGATATACGTAAAAGACACAATCTAACCTTTGAAGGAATCAAATAACTTCATGGATATGTTACATATCCTCTTTGGTGATGGAAAAAATCACCAGTTGCAACTTTCCTTACGTGTAACAAATACTAATTTGATCTTGTAATGTGTTCCACTCCGAGTGGATGCTGAGAAAAGGAGACTTTCTCCACCTCGCTAGCTTTTGATACTGAATTTGGCAGTAACAGGTTATGCAAGGTGGTCTTCACGTGCTGAGCATGTAGACTTGTTTCGGTATATGCACACTGGTTACCTCTTTCAGTCTTAAACTCAGTAGAACAGAGGTGAAGGGCTAACTATGGCTAAAATATTTATTAGTCTATTTATAAAATTTTACTTAATTCCTTCTTATTCCTGCACCCATCCTGTCCCACTTTATGTAAGAAATTGGAACTGTTTCTTAGAGTATACAAGGTTTGAATTTTTTTTTTCTTTGCATAGAGACGCTAGAAATCTTCTCCTGGAGACTCCATGGTAGGAGTTTCCGCTGGGTTCATCACTCGCTTTTATTCCTTTCTTTTAGATTAGCAGTATTGTGCCTTATAGCAAAACACCTACGAAACCTGAAGCATCTGAGAGTGAATATAAACCCTGGCATCTCCCATTATGACCTCTTATTCAAATATTTATATACTGTAAGTGGTATAAGGAATTGCTAAACTGTTTTGTAAAGAAATATGTATATTTAAGACACTACTTAACTAAGAGTGTTAAACGAATTGTTTAGGATTTTAGCATTGTCATGTTATAAATGTGCTCTGTTCTTCAGTTTGTTTTGGTAAAGCTGTTATTACAGGTTGCTTAAAACAAGGTCTCTTACTAGACATTTGTTTTAGAGTGTATTTTGTTTTTAAAATGTATATTTGGAATGTTTTTAAGAAAATATGCAATTCTTTTTCTAACTTATATTGAGCTTCAGTAGAAGCAATAACTTTTTTTTTAATTTTAGAATGAATGTTCCAGAAATGAGAGGTTTCAGCTGGGGAAATATAATCTAAACTTCTACTTTGCAGAGCAGACGTTTCATCCTAAATTTCCTTTTGAAATATTCTTCCTAATGCCTACTTAAATAAATCTGCCTCTTCCCTGTAGGAGTGTAACTTTTAGGTTTACTGGAAAATTGTCAGGTTGTAGTTCTGATGTCACCAGCAGGTGCAAGTTTCTGTGATGCCTTTATCTTACAAGAAGCACACGAGAATGGAATATGACTGACCAAGCATCTCCAACACTGAACAAATAAAAAACAACCCACAACTAAAACAATGTATAGGGACGCTTGTCTCCAAAAGAAGCCTACCAACATTTCCAGAACTGCCTTTTTAACTATCTCTTCAATATTAAAAACTAAGTCTTCTCCCTCTTCCTTAACACAAAACTGAACATTGATTTTTAGTAAACGTTGAGAGGGTTTAAACTCTAGCTCAAGGAGGAACCAAAACGAGTTATCGAGAGAAGTCTTGTCAATCTGTGGATTGTGTCTTGCTGATACCTGCAGTGCAATATTCATGCTGGAGGGGAGAACTGTGGTAAGTACATCAACTTTTAAGTAATACTTCTAAAACAAAATGCCTTTCTTCAGAACTGAAGTTCAGAGCTGGAAGAAAAGCTAGAGAACCTGCAAACTGATGAGAGTGCCTATAAAATCTGATGTGGTAACAATTTAGAAAAATGACTAAGTATGAGGATTGCTAGAACACGTCTTCTGCTGTCTCCATACCTGTTTCATTTAAGCTTTCACAAGAACAGTTTGTACATAATTTGTGGTATATTTAGGTCCTGTAAGGCCAGCTGTGCTGCTGAGGAATGATGACAATAAAAGGCCGAATTGCAGTGCCTCCAACAAGCAGTTTGCTCTCCTTGGAAGCACGATGACAAAATCTTCCGAAGCGAACATTGGTCTGACCTCAGTCAGAAAGCTTATTATGTGCAAAAAGAGTGGCAGTGTGAAAATACAAAACAGGAAATAGGCCATCTGTGGAGCTTAAAGCAAGAGGCTTAGAAACATGAAGTGTATTGCCTACTGTTAGAACTCGCATAAGTAACTTTTAGAGTATGTGGGTGTAGGCAGCTCGAGGTAGGTACAGGTTTTTGCTGATCAGGACTGACTTTGTTGGATCAGACCTGTATTTCTAGTTCCTAGCACTCTAACTACCAACAGCTCCTATGAAGAGCAGAACAGAGTCTTCCTCACCCTTTGGAGGATCTGTAATCTGCCTTTCTGCTTGGGTTATCTCCTGCCTAATGTGGGAGCTGATGCTGTATGTGCTGTGGGTTCTCTTCCTAGCTGCACGTTTTTCATGAAACATGCAGAAGCCTCTCTCTGAGATATGTCCCTTTGTCAGATTTTGCTGAAGTCTCCCAGAGGGCTTCTTACAGCAAGAATATGTATAAAGTAAAAAAGCAAAAGCCCAATGCCAGCATAAAGTAGAGAGCCCCCCAGTGGCAGTGTTGAATAAAGAAATAGGAGCAAATCCCCAGCCGAACTGAGGGATGTTGCTGCACAATGATGGATTTCATTAGTAGGCATCATTAATTGTGATGTGATGCAAAAAATTGAAAAAGGAGCTGTAAACATCTCAAAATGGAGTGGTGTTTAAAGTGAGGCTAAAGCCTCCTCTTTGATCAAAGGCCTTGGCTTAGTAGTCGAAGAATAAATTTATTATTAAATAACTTTTAAAACTAGCTTTAGCTTTCAGACCTGTTAGCAAAAAAAAAAAAAGAACATTTCAGATCTAACTGCATGTTAACAATGACTTTCATTAGCAGTGGTACCAGTTTAACTAGACAATTGGGATTTTTTCACTAATTACCCCTAATAAAGACCAGATTCTTCTTTTTTTTTGACCCTAAGCAGAAATGGGCTTGAAGCAATGCTTGGATGAGAATCTCTACAGTAGTAGGAAAAAATGATTAGATAGCAGTAACTCCTTCCCCAGACTCCTTGCTCACCAATGTATGAATGTCATCTGGTTGCCTGTTGCCAGGAATCAGTGCTAGATTCTTCAGAGGAAGTATGTCAGAGGGGTTGTAAGATGGCTTAATTACAGCGAGAATGTTTTTAACTCTTATTAAACTAATAAATTGGGCACTGGGTATAATAAAACCCCAGCTTTGGTAGGAATATTCTTGGGTACTTCCTGTCCTGTGCCAGCATGTAATTGGTCTCAGAGAAACTGTTAACTTGTTTTTAAAAAAAACAAAAACAAAAAAACATGCCAAGTTTCTTTTTTTTTTTTAACAGCTTCTTGATTTAGGAGTGGTCATCCTGGTTTTCCTTCCAGCACACTAAGCTTTCTCTAAGACAAGCCGGTAGTAGTTGTGCAGACAGGAGCCCAGAGAGCTCACGGTGGTGATCATTGTCTCACCTCTTATGCCCTGTGGTATGAGAATGCTCGAGACAGCAGGGTCTGTGCTCATGGGTTTTGATGAGCTCCATCAGAAGTGAAAGTGCATTGGGCTGATTATTTAGCTCCTCCCAAAAGCAAAATTCTCATGTCTAGGCAAGTACAGACATGCAACTACTGTTAGCAGTTGTCACTTGGAAGTATATACCAGTAGGTTAAGAAGGGCAGTGTGAATTGGCAGAATACTTCTTCAGTTGTTGCCAAGGCTGCAAATACTTAATAAATGCATGGGGTTGGTGCACATCAGCATTCCAGCGTGCAGTAAAAGGTGGAACTCTTGCTCAACAGAGCCTTAAGGGCTCTGTGTCACTGCAACAGTGATACTGTTGTGGAAATTGTGTGGGCATTTGGTCTTGGTGTTTCTGTACTGAGGCTGTTACGGAAGTACTGGCTCCGCTGCTCTGTAAGGAGAGCTGATACTGAAATTTAGTAAAGGAGTCAGCTGGAAATATTTTGTCAGCTTAACCTGGAGAGAATGGAGCTCTTGGTGTGGGCAGCTTGACAAGAGACTGTTCTCTTCCACCAGCCTGAGTGAGACTTCACAGGATGGCTCAATCCAATTCAGTAGCTTGCTGTTCCACGAGAGAGTTGTCCTTTCCAATTTTCTGTGCCAGCTATCAATTACTTTGTTCTGGTTCTCACATTCGAATTAAGAGTATGTGACGAACTCAGCTTACATGGCAGAAAACTAAATTCCTCTAAATTGAATATTGTCAAGGTAGGAAGCTGAGTATCCTTACTGTGCGACTGGATAAGCCTTAGAGCTGGGCTCAGGGAACGAGGAGCTGGGGTGGAGGAGGAGGGAAGAGCAAGACCGGGAGATGCAGTTTTATAATAGTGCTGTGCTGAACTAAGATTGCTGAAATGAAAGATGGCAGCAGCAACTTTCTCTTTTTATAACCAGAATTGGTGAAAAATAGTAATATATTTTCTGTCCTTGAGGCTGATCTTTACTAAGTGCTCTTTTTCTCTCACAGGTGGTATGTGAAGATTAAACATGCACAAATCAAGCTGGAGGCTTTTGTTTTTGTTCAGTATGGGTCCTGATCTCTCTCCTCAGATATCCTGCTGTATTGCGAAACTTGGTTTGAGAAAGTTTAAAAGTAGAATGTCTCTATAATTGCATGTGTTTGTGTGAAGAATGCATTGCCTGGAAACTGTCCGTTATGCTTCCACTGGGCCTGAAGCTAGTTTTCACCACCTGAAACATGGTAATGATACTGTATTTTTAAACGAGCATATCCTTCTGAATTGAGAACAGCAAATTAATGAGTTTCCATCATTTCATTAGTCTGAGGCTTAAGTCCAAACTCTGTATTCTCTTCTGCTTAAACAAAACTGCAAATAACCTCTTGAACTTGCTAGTCTCTGTCAACAACTATTCACCATCAACTCTTACGGTAACCTTGTACTAACTCGGTTGCATTGATTGCATCAAGCACTGAACTCCTCTTTCCATTGTGTATGTACAAGTGTAAGGATGTCAAGTTATGCATTGTTGATGTAACTTAATGGCTAAAAGCTCAATTTCCATAATAAATTATACAGACCTTTTAAAAAGCAACACTTTGTAGAAAATGCTTTGTAGAAGCTTGAGCGTTTTCTTTACACAAGCGTGACAAAACCATCATAAACAGATCTGGGACACTCAAAATAAGCACAAAATGAGCTTAACTTTATGCTGGGTAGGAAGGGGGCATTGTCTTCAGTAGCTCACATCCTTTCTGGATGTTGTGGTGCTCTCTGTGTAACCCCTGGGGAGCTGTGGTGGGTTGAGCTGTGCTGAGCAGCTAAGGGCTGTGGGGCCAACGTTCAGTGTGTAAGGCTTTTATTTCTGCTCCTCCTTCCTTACTTCATTTAAAGCTCAAGAAGGAAGCTCCAAACAAAGTATAGAGCTTTTAAGTTTGTTTTTTTTTAAACCCACTTATTGAAGAGATATGAACAGGGAGAAGATGAATATGGCATAGTTACATTGTATGTCAACGTTAGTAGACATGAAGCAGGCAAGGTGCAAATTCCAAGCACAAACTGTGTTAACTGCTACTGCTAACAGTGACATAGCACAGCGCTAGGTTTCAGAAGGAATTTATAGAGCAGGAATTTCTAGACTTAGAGCAGCTCTAAAGTAAATTCTACTTTAGTTGACTTAACACATCATAACTTTGGGAAGTTGTACAAGCCTAATCCTCTAATGCCTGGAGAACACTTCCTCCAGGGCATCTTAAAAAAAGATCATGCTGCAGAAGATGAGATTGAGGGGATTTTATACAAGTCATTGTTACATTTTATTCATATAATTTATCAGTTTACCTTACTTACGAAGATGAAGTCAAAAGAAAATCTTGACCTTGCATTATTGAACTTCTGCCTCATAAACAAAAGCTGCTTTAGGTCTACAGCTCTTCTGCTTAATTTTTTATCAAACAGCCTTACATTAGAATGGCTAACTTTTCAAATTGTTTTTCTTTTAAAGTTGAGTTTAAAAAACAGCAATTATTTAACTGTCAACAGTGGTATTTCAGCCTACTCTCTCCCCTACCCCCATCTAACATAGCACGGTACTGATTACATGCTTATAACTGAAGAGGCTATTTTAATCATTGGTAGCCACAAAGGAAGTGCTTGTGCAACTTTTGAAGTAAGAAGAGTCCTATGACTGAGTTCTATGAAGAAAGGGGACCATTTTTCCACAGTGGATCATTCTCAAAATCATGAAATAATTTGGTGGTATGAAGTCAGCATTGTGGAAAAAGTCAGTGATGTGGAGGAGGAGAGCATACAGTTTTAAACATTACAGTCAACACTTCATCAGAAACATTAAAGATAATCCTTAAACTTATTCTAAGCATCAAGACAGACTTTCCCTTTCCCAGTGAGAAGAGGGAACATCATTAACAGAAGGTGGTTCCAGCTTTTAGGAGGCCTTACAGAGTACAGAAAGAGCCAACATGAATTTAAATTACTTATTTGGATAGCAGTTGACTTCAGTTATCCAAAGCTGTTTGTGAATAGAGGCTCTCTGGGAATACAGCCTATAGTTCAGGACATGCTCATGACCTGTAGTCAAAGAAAGCTTAAGGGTAAGGCCTAACATTTCAAACTCAAGCACACATATCAGAAAAACATTTATTGTTTAAATGCATAAAATGCTATTTATAGTGTATTACATTATTAATCCAGTAATTTTGGTTTAAAATATACAATTAATTGGTATAGAACACTCATATTCCACCCCTCCCCCCAGTGACCAAGTGGTTTTATTTGGAAGTTTTTGTCTCTGATGGATTTTCCCCAGTGTCTAGAGTCTTCAGCAATCTGAAGAGGCCAGCTGCTTCTCTTATCCGGCTGAACTCAATGCAGAATGCTTGCACTTCTATAAACAAGTCCTGTACATTAATAATCTTGTTTCTGATTAAAGACTGAAGAAAGACGCAAACAAGACGTACCAGGCGGTTCTGAAACAGAAGAGAACATAATCCACATAAAAAGTTGGCAACCACGTTTGTTGGCCCTGAGCAGCACAACCCTCTTAACTGAGGCATTTCAGCAGAACTTCAGCTACAGCAGTAGTCTTTTCCCCAAGCTCTGTACATGCACAAATAAGGTACCAGATTGCATTATATATATATATATGAAAGTACAGAGCACATGTACACATGTAAATCTATGAATAAAACCCCAAGAGTCTTGTCATCACTATGGACACAGTTCTTGCTTAGTCTCATTTTCTACAAGTAACACCGTAAAGAAAAATGAACAAGCTTCAATCTCAAAACTTCCCAGTGGGCATGCAATTAAGGCACTCCAACTGGGAAATGACAGCTACAGAACTGATCCCAACCTTGCTTAGCAGGAAGCACTCTATCACTGAACTGACACATTGCAGTATTGCTGTATCTTAGAAGGAAATGAGGGATACTTAATCCCAGAAGAGCTTGTGGCTGTGAGCTGCAACTCCATGCCTGTTCCAGTGAGAAGCTGGGATCTCAGCTGCATTCCTCCTTCCTAGGGGCTGCTGAGGTAGCACCTTGTAGAGCACATGGAGAATGGTAAACTGCAGACCTAGGAGCTGGCAATTATACAGACCCACCCAGTCGCTAACCAGCTGCTCCCCAGACTGGGATGAAGGCAAATAAGCAGTCAACTATTTTTAGAGGAACTAAGCTCTCAAAATTTCCTACCTACACCAAGGAAATTCAGGAACTGAACAAGTTGTTTCCCTTGCTACAGTCAAAAGGCATCATGTGTTTTCTGCAGCACCAGGACTAGGTACAAGAATAACTTCGGCAAATATGAAACTCAGAACAAGAGTACAACTGCAAAGTGTTGGCCGGTTCCCAAACTCTGAGGATTGTAATTGTTTACTTCTGATAGGAGTGTTTTTGAATGGTGCTTCTCAAACAAAACATCTTGTGTTTCAGCTGCTGTGAGACCTCATTAGGTAGCATTAACAAATGTCAGATCTCACACACCTTGCTTGCTCCTTGCTGATCAGTGTGTCTTCCTTGACCCTCTTCTCTTTATTTTGTCCTGTGTGCCAGAAGCACAGCTGCTCTACAATCTCAGTAGTGCCCACCCACTCTGTGAGCATGTTCTCAGCTCTGCTATTTTTCTCCCCTGCTATTCAGCAAGTCACAGATCAATGCATCCATGCATTTCTGGCCAAGTCCCAAAGCAGAAAACCATCAGCAGCCACCAGAAACTAACAAGTGGTTAGTCAGCATCTGGAAAGGTACTTAGAACAAGACAGAGGGGATTTTCCTGCTGTCCAAAACCACACTGAACCTACATCCTGTTCATTACGTGCAGTTTTGGCCTCTGCAGCTTAAGGATATAGCAGAGCTAGAGGAGGAAGCCAAAAAGCTTAAGGGAAATCTAAAATGCACAAATCTAAATAGGCTGCAATCCAGTATGGAGAGGAGAAAAGCTGAGGGAGGAATTGGTCTGGACTCAAAGCCTTGTGTGAACTGAACATGGAACTGTCCTTCACCAAAAAAATATCCAAGAAAACAAGACCTACTTGGTGAAACTCATAAATAATTTTAGGAAAGAAGGGAAGTACTTCATACAACATGCAGGTAACAGCTACAAGGAGGGTTAAAGATCCTTGAAGTGGCTACAACTTGCATGCTGGTACTGAGGAATTAAGACTGGCTTGGGAAGAAGAGATTATGGCATTATGAAAGCAGAAAAGAAAAGGGTTTTTAGGGTTTAAAGGAGATCTGAAAGTTACTATGGGTCAGTAATAGAGAAAATTGAAGGGCAAAATTTCCACAGGAGTTTTGTAACATCACCTCGAAGCGTGGAACTGGTGGAGACACTTGTGGAGCAAAAAAAGCTCAAAACTAAGTAGAAAACAAACATCTCATGCTAGAAGTAAAGAGAAGTCACACTGAATGACAGATAAGCTTTTTGCACTTAGGCTCCTGAGTCATAGGACTGTAGTATTGCTAGGGAGAAGTGTATGATATCTACAGTAAAACAGAACAGTAGTTACCTGTGGAGTCTTGTAGAAAGGTGAAACAGTAATTGTTAAACACTAAGGAACTGCGTAGCGCATTAAGAAAAAAAAAAGTACCTCTGAAATAAATTATTCTGTCTTACTGCTTCTTTAATGCTATCACCCTGATAAAGTCTTAGCACATGTCACACAGAGCAAGACCCTGGACCCTTTTTCCTGACCAGTTGAGCAGAGTACTCACCTGCATGTATTTGTCTTTAATCTGTTCGCAGGTAGAGATACAGTTGGAGATATAAAGATGAATAAACTCAGGAGGGAGATCAACTGCAGTAGTAAGCCTGTTCAAATTAAAAATATCCAATGGTTTATGTAGCTAGAAATACTAAGATTCTGTTGCAGAACAGATGAGTTAGAGCAGTGATACTAGTTTATTCCTGATCATGTCATACAGAGCTGATTTCTAAAAACCTTCACAGACATAATTCTAAACATTTGGATTTCTTAGGGGTCAAAACCTTTTTATTTTAAACCCAACACAGTACAGAAACTAAATTAGATCTGGTTCTTAGTGTGTTTGACATACCTACAAAGACATGTTACGCAAACGAGTCTATGATGTAACTTCAAATTTAAGAGGAAGGCCTTAAGCTGTCTGAATGCCAAGATTCTTCTGCAATACGATTTGGTTTATCCGTATCTGAACTCCAGAGAGTGAATCTGGATGCTGAGCTCCTTCCTGAAGTACACAACCCATGTGACTTTTGTGTGTGTCAAAAGATGTGTTTCATTAGTTCTTTCAGATCCAGATTGTAGTCCTAAAAACTGAAACAGCTTCAATATCTGGAGCTCAAATACAGGAGACACTGACTACGTGAATGAGATTCACAATGCATGATGATCCCAGAAGCTTCTTACTGCAGAACAATTGGAGAACTACTGCATCAAAGAATGGTATTCATTTTAAGGGTTAACAGAAAGGACACCTATTGCTGTTTGACAGTGCTGACTGCTGTATCTGAGATACCACTGTTTTTTTGAAGTACTACAGCTCATAAGTTACAATGATACATAGTAAAACTGTCATAAAATTACAACAGAATTAG